CAGGATTGCTTTTGAGTGATCAATGCACTAATTTATTATTTGGGTATGCAGATACATGGCATGGTTGCAGTTACTAGATRCTTAAATGTCACACCTATTGTTCTAGATTGGACAAATCATCACTTTGGGCTGATCCAAGGTGAGTTAGCAGAAGATTACATGAAACCACCAATTAAAAACGCCAACCTTTTTAATTTTAATAACTCAAATGGTTAAAGAGGGTCTCTATGGTATCTCCACAACTTCGTACACAACAGCCAATGATGCAAAATGGCATATATGGCCACACACTTTTACCTTGTTGCACCATTCTCCACAGCTAGGTGAAAGTGGCTTTTTCATCACTTGTTGAGCATGCATAATCTGAATATTATGAAATATTGTTTTTTTTCTTATTATACAAGTATAATTATGGAATAGTGTAAGAACCTCGCATATATTGATTAAAAAGTGGATTTTGTTTGGGACTGCATTCTGTTTTCATTTCATGTTTGGGACTTCATTTTCTTTCCATTTCATCTTATACACACACACACAAGGGCGTGTAGTTCCTTTATAATTGTTCAACTGGTAACTCATCTTCATTTATTACTCTGTTTTGCCCTTTTACTACTCTGCCATCTAAGTCCATGTTTAAGTCTAATAACCATCTAAGTCCACCTGCACCGGCACTTGGAAAGCATAGCTACTAGCAGCTTCTACAGCCACATCAGTAGCTGCTTTCATCTCTGGCATTATTTTGAAGAAATTTTACCCAATAATCTTTGCTAATTTCTCTCTCAGAGAGGCATCTGTAAAGACCAAGGGTAACTAAATACAAAAATCAGTTTATATGTGTGTATATATGTAAATCTGTTTATGATGTAATTTTTTTTTTTGGGTGTAATCTGTTTATATGTGTACATATATAAATCTCTGCTTAAGTACACATAGATCTAATAAAACATATGCCATAAAGGGTACTAATCACTATGAATTAGATGGTATTTGTATATATAATTAGTGTTATATCCTTGCGGAAAAACCACATGCATTGAAAAATAAGTATGTGTTTTTGTTTCTTTTTATTTGCTGTATACTAAAAGAAACTTTCTTTCCTGCTTATGATATAATCCAATAGACTTGCTCCGTTTTTATGCACAAATATTTATTTGTTCTCTTAACACATTCTTACATGTTTTTCTGTTTTAGACATACAATTCTAAACTTGCAAAACACCAAGATATGAGGCAGCGACACTTTTCAATCAACTTCAGGTATATCATTTTCTTATAAAAAGAAAGATTTGTGGAACTATAATGGATTTTATTATGTTTCT